AGCACCTGGATGGCATGCAAAAGTCGAGAACAGCGACTCCTTTAGGAGAACCGATGTCATGGGAACATGAGGTTCGAGGTGGCGGTTACGATATCATCACGTGAATCCGATATTGCGGCGCGGCGAACCTTAGAGACCTTTTGGATCATGGCTAAGGCCTCTAAAATTAATCGGAGGGAAGAGTGCGTGGCGGTTACCACAGAGCTGGCGCCCTTTGCAGCACTATGTGGGTTTTGACTTACGCTGTCGATCTCCCGCGAGGACCTCTCGGCGGGGCGGGGTCGGGGGGCTTATGCAGTAATCGATAGGAGTTGATTGGGAAGGAGATGGTTTTTCAAATGCCTTTTGCCTTTCCAGGCTCCGAGGAAGGTGAAGGCACCGAAACGTCAGCCTAATAAAGCTTGTTAATATCTCGGTTCTACAGCTTTAAAACTAACTTCAAAACTAAAGGAAGAATGCCGAGATTCATCGATAGTCGCACATGGACAATCAACAGATTGTTCAACAAAGTATCTTTCGAAAACCCGCACTGTCTAGATTTCTTCTGTGAAGCCCTGAGAGCTTTAGTGGACTTGTATCAGGATACCAATTGAACATACACCCAATTGTATGCGCATAACATACACAGCCCTCCCTTACATGCTTAAATGGCACGATGTACAGTGGCCACCAAACTGTCTTCCCATATCGATAGGTACTCCTTCACAAACTCGAAGATGCCATTCTGAAGCCCCATCAAAAAGTGCATAAGCATGTTACCCTAAAGCTCCGTCCACGCGGTTCTGTGTAAATCTGCTTTCCACGTTTCAAAGCCGGAAAGCCTAACCTCCGGTCTGGTTCATCGACTACGATATCATGAAAACATAGGCATAGACGTGAAAAAAAACTGAAATGTTTTCGTAATAGTTTGTACTTCCCAGCTGTTTCTAGAAATAATGTTCACCTGACTGGATGCGGAGTTCAATGAACGTGACGCCATGGCGTTAGAGACCAAGCAAAAGGCATGAGGCCAGATGTCGCAAATATGACATCCGCTTGAACTCTTATATGGCGTCCGAAGAAATCAAAGTTAAATAGAGCATAACGTTGTTAATTATTGCAGGTATACAGAGGCACTAACCTAACTTTCGAACAAGAAAAGGGTATTGAGCTTATCGTGGAATGGCTGCGTTCGGGTATATACTGTTTTTTTGTGTGTTATAGTCGTGTGTGGGTGCAGTTTTTTTCTGAGCAGCGCTAGTTTTAGGTCTTCTGCCGAACAACGCAACAGACGTACTAGAAGAATTTAGGTAAATTTTCAATCCACCTTGATTTCCGCCGAACGCGAGCGAGTTTATGTCAGAAGTTTGATTTTTTTAGGGCCACTACGATTGAAGATGCAGCTACCACATCTACATCTACTACTTACACTACTACTACTGCTACGATGATGACGACGACGGCAACGACAAGCATGACGGCGACGCCCACTTCCGAAACAGAAGCTACGATCGCTTCCACAACTACGCTCAGTTCCACAGAGGACATCAGCCCGTTCATCACAACAGCAACTTCCAGTGAAACTGAGACCACTTCTACATCTGGAAGTTCCTCTACATCAACAATGCACGCAGCTCCTGATATTGGTGATTCGACTACCGAAACGACTACATTACCTCCTGCTATCATCGAAAGAGAAGTGAGCTTCGCTTTGTGATACAGTTTTTAGAGATTCTGCGCTACTGTCAAGGGGTCCAGAAAGTTTGAGAAAATCTAGCCGTTTCATTTTACACAAGAGAACTGCAGTAATAACATACATAAGGCCAGTAATCAAGGTAGTGGCTCTCCTTAGCTGCAACATCTCTCTATTGATGCCATTGCAGAGTACTGAGGCCACTCTTCTAGGGGAAGAGGAACGCAACGCGGTCCCTGTATTTACTGGGCGTTGTTGGATTTTTCTTAGACCTGTAGGCTTCTGAATGTATGTTAATCATAAGGGCTAGGGTTAAGGAAATATGCGGTGGTAGAGTAGCCGAGTGAGGCCAAGCTTTTCCAGCACTTCCATCGTCATCCTCGCACACTGTGGTCAAGCACTGTCCATACCAACCAAAAAACTTAGTAATTGGTGTGAAATGGAACTTCAGACATCCATCCCTCGTACTTGTACGCAGGGTACTCTTGCGGTCATAGCAGTACTCTCGGGTAGACACAAACACTCGGTGAAGCAGAATAAGAATGAAATCATGTTCTCCTGCGGGCTACTGTTCTGCCATGGAGCCAGTTGTGGCCTCACGTTCCTTGGTAGCCAATGCTATTTACGGTATGGGTTTAATATGTTATCCATTTTTTATCGTGAGCAATAATTAGGTCAGCTCATGTCGTCGTTTGCCTACGGTCGAGAAGTTTTTGATACACATCGACTCGCAATCGGCGCTCGTGCTCCCTTAGAGAGTGTAGAAAGAATCGAGACAGTGCTGCACGAAAACGAGTTCTGCGCAGAAACGGATTGTGGAAAGGAAAGTAGAAGTCGTTTTCTCGATTACCTTAATACTCTAGACTCTCAGAGAAGATCTTAAGTGTCGACAATGAAAGAAAGCCAGAGTCCGCTTCGAAGATCTCCTTCGACATGAATCCCTTCTTGAGCGAAGCGATCGTTCATAATAAACAGGTGGTGAGAGAGGTTATACGGCTTCCCATCGACGATCATAAATTGGTAGTGGTGGAGCAAAAGGCTTCAGTAATCGTGTCGGTCTCACATCATTCGGTCGATGATATTTTACTTCTAGCGTTGTGTCAAACTACTGATTAGCTGTAATAATGTATATGCAAGTGTGCCGAATTTTTTGTTGTTTTCTTGGTTCACCACTCTGTATATTTGTCTGCGCGTTCATCTTTACAGGAAACCTGCCATGATTATTATAAATCCAGCGCTATAGAGAAATCCAAATTGAGAAAGAAACCGTTAGAAATAAGAACAAAAATAGCGGTGTCAACGATAATGCTTATACAGCATGGGTCATAACGCAGGTGCCTGATTCGCCACTATCAATCCGACCAATTCGGCAACGGATACACGTGAAGGAGGGAGAACTCAGAATTAGATTATCAATAAAAAAGAGCTTTCATGAGGGAAAAGCTATGAAATTATCAGGAGGATGGCAGAAAATAATTGAACAAAATGGTGTTTATATCAGTAATAAGGTCCGTTCGTTGAAAAGAAAAAATTTATTTGAAACGGATCGAAAGCGCAACTACTTTCCAGTCAGCCCATTATTTATCTTTATTCCGTTATCACTACCGACAAAACTTTTTTACCACCAGCTTCTCGGAATTATGAGTGCTAGATATTTGTGAATGCAAGAAAGGTTCTGATGCTGCGGTCGATGAGCGAAGGCAGCGAACTTTTATCATAGGGTCGAATCCCACAGGTCGGGTAATGATGCTGCGTTAATAAAAGCCTTACGGTGCAAAATGTTGTTTGGGCTCGGTCCCTACGTGCGTTAATGGACCAAATGTTTTGGAAACCTAATTTACCCTCCATAAGACGCTTCCTTGCTCCATCAGAAATGTTCATAAAGACGCTTCCTTGCTCCACTGAAAATTTTTATAAATAAGATGGCGTACCATAAAACAAACTGGAGGATTGGGACAAAAAGCGCAAGGATGCATTCTATGAAAGCAAAGCCGTATTCAACGCCGATCATAGAACGATCAAACATAAAGCTATAGGCACTTGTCGTACAAAAAAAAAGTAAAATAGACAAGCATTGAGGACTCTCAAAAGGCGGTAATTCCTAATTCTTGTACCTTTGGTCATTTCGATAGTCTCGAAGCTCAAGAGGGCAATTATATTAATTATGAATTTTATGATTCACAAAAACATGATGGGGGTCTAGGTAAAAATCACCACATCAACTGACTCACGACAGCCTACGAAAAATTTTTGCTGCTTCCGAAACATACCCAACCTCTACCTTGTTCTCTTACGCTATCATTTATACGACTAAAAAGAGGGATGAAGTAAGACAGGGAAGACAATTTCATTTCCTTTTCCCATGTTGAGATATATGAGGAAGAGTATATGAAGAATAAAGGAGACAAATTCTTTTTCTTTTCCCATGTCGAGATATATTGAGGTAGAATATATGAAGTCTAAAGGACCGAGTTAAAGGCTTTAATCAATCCCATCTGAGGGATGCGCCCCCCACTCGACTTCAATTCAGAATCGTGGTGGCGTAATGAGTGCGTATGTGGCCTATACAATGACTTGCGGTGGCCAGCGAATGTACAAGTCAGTGCTTTTATCCTCCCAGACTACCAATCAACCGACCCTGGAGAGATGGAAGGCTTGCTTGGCTAGCCGATATCGATCCGGGATTTGAATCCCTGACCGTAGGTGTGAGATAGTGCGCCATCTGCCACTACACCACCTCGGTCCCGGTGGAGTATACATCCCATATGTATATCCCATAGGTTGCTTTCATAGTCCACGATTTGGCTCGCGACCGGTCGGGCTATGAAACATCACGCGGACTATGAAAGCAGCCATAGGAATTCGGTTAACATGTACAGAAATCAGAGAGAAAAAACCCAAGTACACAGCTGTAAGAGCTAGGGTTGTTTTCGATCAGAGTAAATAATATAGCCATTGTCCTCTCTGCGCAAAGTGATTCATTAACTGGAAACTGAAATGGAAGAAGTGCTAAAAAAGAGTTACCAAGTGATTAAGAGTAGACAAACCTTCGTGGGATCCCAAGACATAGAACAGTGAACCCGAACAGAGATGAGCCCACATATGCTCCGTAGGCTACAAACGTAAAGAGCATAAACATGAGTAGAATACATAGGCGGATACTCAACTGGAAAGATCGGTTTCGGATGGAAAACTAGGTATTTAGACTGAGGAATGTTGGTAATCAATTTGTATACCTCAGCGTTGTCTGGCAACGAATCGTTCGAGATGACAGTCGGATGCATCGGGTGCAAAATTGGCATTTACCCCTCACGACCACTTATAAAACTTATATTTTTCTCACGCTGCCTGATATAGCGTATGAAATAAATAAATAAATAAATAAATAAACAGGTTCTTGATCTGGGGCGCAAATCTATATCATGCGCTGAAGTCGAACAGCAGTAGAGAATGAAGGAGTCAGAAACGTTGAATGAAGCAAAGAGAAAAGAACAGAGTCTGGCATAACCCAGGCAATCCCTTTGGTTCAACTGTGAAAAAAAAAGTCTGCAATCAACCTCTATTTTTTCTGTTGCTTCAGCCCCGTCACAGTTGTTTGTGATTATCTTCTTTTGTTGTGGGGAGATTTCAGGTGGAACAATCTACCAAATCGGAGGCCTAGCGTCTCGACGCAATCGTCTCTATCAGAGGCTTAGGTTTCACCGCTAAAGCTGACAAATCGCTGTTGCCACGGGCGAATCGCAACTTCGCTATTTCGCCACTGAAAGTATCCCGTAGCGATAGCGGATTTATCCATTTGAGCGGTGGAATTTTGGCCTCTGAAGAAGGCGATGGGACGGAACGTTTTGCCTTTGACTAAATAAATTCCTCCTAAAAACTTCGCAGGGCAAAAGAAAATATAACCACAAACAGCTATAAGACACCTAGTCCTGTAATAGTGTTACGGGGCTGTTTTCAACCGTGGCAGGGGTGACTTATTGCAACTACTTCCTTCAGAAGTGCTGGAGTTTTCATGGGAAAGTTTACTATCCAACATGGCTGGCGCATTGTAGATCGGTTTTCCTGCGACATTACTACAAAACTTATTGGTGTTTCCTATGTTGTGTCGTTGAAACTGTTGAAAGGAGCTGGCCCCTCCATGCACGAAGTTACCAGAACGCTTAAGCCGGCCAACTGCAAGCAACTTATGAACCCACACATATCTCCTCTTTTCATTGCTTCCCAATCTGTTTGCAATAGTGTTGGACGTAAAGTGAAATGAGTGTCTTCCAGGAGTTCTCCCAGTTTCAGAGCCTCACTGTGAATCCGTCCCTCAATTCTAGAGAGGAGCGTTCTGAAGGAGACTCCTCGAACACTTCATTCTCGTCTAATGGGGATGTCAAGGAGCTGCTTCTGTGTATGATTTATTTCAGCGAAAATATATTTAGTTGCTAACAATCCTGAACATCTATAAAAACGCGGTTGTGGACCTGCGTAGGTTTTATCGAATTTCAATTTTCTATGCTTCTGTTAGACTTCTCCATCCTTGTTGATCACGACAACCATGGCGAGGCTGTACTGATAGAAATAACGAAATGAGGAAAAAACAATTCATCTCGAACTAGTATAAGTGACTGAAAATATCATCCCGTTTTCCTCCGGCGTTCTCAAGAATCGTCTGGAAAGGCGGGTGCTCAGCTGCTTCTTCTCGTCACCATCTTAAAACTTTGTCAAGAGCTTAGTGACCTTCGCGATTGCTGGTATTGACGGTAAGACTAGTTCAATTTAGTCAAGCTTACAATGATACCAAGTAATACTGAGTTTTTACAAATGGGAGAATAGTCACAAATAAGAAGTCAATGCATACTGGCTAAAAGACATAGCGAATGTCTTCATCGACACAAAGTCTTCAGCCACTTTGTATTTCGGCTGTGGTCTTTATTTCTCACAAGAGAATATAGCGAGGCCTTCAATCTTTTTTTATGACTACCTGCTAATCCTCTGATCTTTCAAGACTTTCTTTTCACAACTGTAATTGTCCATAATGAAATGGAGTTGATGAACAGCATTTTCTGCCCGTTGGGAGATATAATTCCATTTCAGGTTGGCAAGTCGCGCGACACCGGCTCATCCTTCTTAAGCGACGGGTAAGTCCAGTGGTTATGGTTGGGTTCAACCAGAAGAACTAGATTAAATAAATTACTAACTTTTGGACAAGGTACCAATAGTTTAGAAAAGATTAGAAGAAAAGTTTGCTATAGCTACACAATGACATATTTTCTCATTCAACCAGATCCTTCTTTATGCATAAGTTTCTAAAGACTGAATTAGTGATTTCACTTGGTGTTTCGCTACAGAAGTAGAAGAGTACGATTCAGGGTTGCACCATGGTGTGCTGTATGAAACGCATACATCGGAAAGACGATATCAAATAATATATTTATTTTTTGCTTTTTTTTTTTNNNCACACACACACACACACAACACGCTCACAGAAGGACACAAAGACGGTAGTTGAATGCATGGCGCGGCCCGAACTCCGCTTGAAAGGTGCAGTGCGCAGAAAATGGTGTAGGAAGCTGTTTTGCACCCTTTTACTACCAGTTCTTTTGTTTTCAGGCTTCCTGTGATAATAGTGGCCGTTGTCTGTCTGGTTCTCCTTGCATCTGCCATAGCCCTTGTAGTGAGAAAAAGAAAGCTAGACGAAGTAAGTAGCTCTGCAAAGCCAGTTATCCTACTTGATGAAACTTTCTACTAAGTTATTTTATTCATGAAAGAAAGCAGACGCCGAAAGAAGGACTAGAAGACGAAGGCAGCCCAGGTCTAAAGAAGGTCAATCCAAATATGCGTCGATACAAGGGCCGGTGGACATTACAAAGGGAATGGATTCTGCTGAGAAAGCCTTAGGATCGAAAGAGCCTGGAGCAAAGGGCAGTATAGAAAAGTCAAAGGAAGGTGTTGGTTTCAAAGGGTTTGAATCCAAGGAGAAATCACCCGAATCAAAGGAAGGAACAGCATCCAAAGAAGGTGAAGCCAAAGAGAAGGCAGCGAAATCAAAGGAAGGAGCTGCATCTAAAGAAGGTGAAGCCAAAGAAAAAGCAAAATCAACGGAAGGGACGGGTTCGAAAGAAAGCGATTCCAAGGATAAGAAGAAGGGCTCGAAAGATTAGTGATCTAAAAATGACACTCATTTTCTTTTATTTTATTTATTTAGAACGCAAACATCGTTTCAGTTAGATTATTAACTAACTAAACGTAATATAAATTTTCAACACATTCTTGAAACAGATCAAAAGCAAACGAACATAAGTGCGAAATAATTAAGAGATTATACCTTCGGAGAGTTTTGAAAATGAAATACACGACCGGTCATTTAGAGGAAATAAGGATAAGTAAATAAAAATATAGAACCCGTCTACTAGAAAATTTCTTGGTAACTTCGGCTCTTAACGAATTTTCAGAAGCAGGGAGTAAGGCTGAAGTTGCTCGATTCGTTAATTTATCAAGCTTTTGAACCACTCCATTGAAAAAACTGTTGAACCTGACTTGTACTTGACAAAATAATGGACTTAAATCCCGATTTATACCGGTAAATATTAGAACCCATTCTCAAATCACGCCCATCCATTCTATTCAATGAGGAGTTTGGCCAAGTTGCCTTCTCCTTTCGGCCTAGGAGTAAGACGCAGATGGATTACTTTTAATACTCAGTGCCGTTCTGTTTGCAGAGAGAACAGTGGTCCTATTCTTAATAATAAGACGGACGCACTTTTTATATTTCGAACTGGCGTGTTACAGCTTTTTATGCAAAGAGCTTTGAGGAGATCGTAAAAATTGTCATTTACATTTACAACGAGTTTTTGTAATGCTCTGCAAACGAGAATTTGTCATTTATCAGGAATCCTGGGTCTCTGACTCCATTCTGCTCATGTGGCTTCAGTTTTCCTAGAAGCTAGGAACATTCCCATTCATCAGAAGAATTAATACAAAATTCATAGCATTCTGGACATTCACGCCATATTCTGGATTTTTGACAGTCATGTGTAACTCTTAATGTCCATGTCTCGATACATTATTCAAGAGGTGCTAGACAAAAATAGCCTTAGGCAAATCCAAAAGAATAGACCAGGAACAAAAGAAAGGGAGAGAACATTCCAAACAGGGAATCACCACTGGAAGAATCTTGGGTTGGAGAAAATGCGATGCATACTATTCCTTCCTTGATACATTTGCTATTCAAAGAGTCATTCAATCCAACTAACAAATCTTCGTTGTATCCCAATCATGATCAGTTTCGGAATCGTTTGAGACGACATTGCATTTAATAGGAATCTGATATCTCTAAACTTTACGAAATTTAGAAGTTATTCGAAAACTGTGGCGCAACGGTGAAGGGATTAGGGATCGTAAGGGACACTGTCCATGTGCGACTCTCTATGAATCTCGGCATGTTTCTTTACAGTTCTGAGGTTTTTCTTCTGAGCTGGTAAACCGAGATTGCAACAATGTTTATTAGGCTGACGTTTCGGTGCCTTCACCTTCTTCGGAGCCTGGAAAGACAAAAGGCACTTGAAAAACCATCCGATCAAGAACTATTTCATTATTTCAGAACCTGTGGGATAGCCCACAAAGGTCGGCTATCCCACAGGTTAGTTAACAACTTCCGACTTCCTACTAGTCCACGCCCTTTGAACTCTCTCTGTAGGATGAAATAGTTCTTGATCGGATGGAATTCAAGTGCCTTTTGTCTTTCCAGGCTCCGAAGAAGGTGAAGGCACCGAAACGTCAGCTTAATAAATATTGTTGCAATCTCGGTTTACCAGCTCAGAAGAAAAACCTCAGAACTGTATGGGACACTTTCACGGAACAGTTCCTCAGATCTCATTGAGGGCAGGCCAAATAAGCACTCCGAAATGTTGCTTTAATCGATTCGAACGAACAATTTCAAAGTTTCTTAACATTATCGTGCCAGTTCCTCATCTTTCATCACATCAGTGAACGCGATGCTATCATTATTTTCAATATCAGAGAAGAAATGCTCCCCTTTTATCACGATTTCAGCACCTGCAACTGCTGAATCTGCAAACTTTTCTGAGCGTTTACAGTTTTTTTCCGAACCCTTTTGCCGACCTTAAATCAACCATCACCTGGACTTGATTCATTCATCCTATAAACCAACGGACATTCGCTTCATGTTTCATCTGCGCGTGACCATTCTTCCCAGACGATAGGAATTCCCTACTGAACCCAACAGCTTTGTTGACAACTCCATTGTCAACACTTCAGTCAAGTGCCGTTCCAGAGTTAGCGTGTGAATCTCAAAGATCGAAATCCGCAGGCTTAAGGGTGACGGGGCGTGAGAATCACGGGTGATGGACCACTTTGTCGTTTCACTCATCCCTGGATTGTCCACTACAACTTCCCTGTTTCCTCGTCCCTGCTGCCACTGAATCCACTAAAGTAGGCGCATCTTTGTTGTTTGATGATTTACGTTCATCACGACAACCACTAGTTTGTTCTTGTGATGTAAGCATCGACGTTTGCGATAGTTATCCGTTGGCTGGCTCGACGACGATTTTACGCGATTGTAATGTCGTTCCGGAAAAACCCCTCGTCGTCTGACTGCTAGCTGTTGGCCATGCATTGTCGGCGTTTGTACACTTGTGGGCAGACAAGCATTTTTCATCGTGTCCGCAGACAACAACGAAACACTTGTAGTGGTGGATTAATTACCCTCGACTCGAGAACATCTGTCCCGACTAGAGGATCTACCCTAGCACTTCTTATCACCATCACTGACCGGGCGAAACAATAAGTAAGAAAACTTCCTGATGATTTCGATCGTTCTTGGGGCTAGATGGTTTTTCTATTTGATGATGAAGCGCATCCTTTACAACATAGCTATTCACATACTTATGCCGTCGTCGAAGCTCATCGATTTTAAATTTTCAATGCTGTCAATCATATGTAGCACGCTTTCTACCCAAGGAAATGATTTGGATTCAAAACTAGGTTTTAAGAGGCCTGTTATATGATGCACCATAGCATTAGAGAATCAACTTAGATAACTATAACCGGGGCGAGACCAGCAGAAGGGGTAAGAATTTCACCTTTAAGTTGTTGATATATGGTGTTGTCGCATACAAATAAGCTCCGAAAAGGCGCACAAAAACTCCAACTCCGTTAACTCCACCCATCTGGGTTGACGAATGGGTTTATCGAACTTTGACTAGTTATTGCGCCTTACTCACGCCGCGCTTTGCCGTACAATTCCACCTAATGAACAAAAAAAGCTTCCTAAAAAGGTAGTGCGCAGGACTAGTTCAAGAGTGGTCTGTCTTCGAAAGTACAGTTGAAAATAGTTCCCGATATTTTCAAATAACGCTGACCTGTAGCCCTCACAGGAAGCCACATGGGGCACTGTGGGGACGAAAAACGGCTTAGATAGGGAGCAAAGAGGACTCGAAGAACACTCAGAAACGCTCGGGTTTCAGTAGAGAGGGCTGTACAGTTCACCACTGAGTATAATAAAGTATAAAGGATAAGGTTTTTGGCGTTAATCAATCCCGTCTGAAGGATGCGCCCCGCACCCGACTTCCATTCAAAATCGCGGTGGCGTAATGAGTGCGTATGTGGCCTATACAATGACTTGCGGTCGCCAGCCTATGTACAAGTCAGTGCTCTTATCTTCCCAGACGAGCTTGGTACCGATTAACTGACCCCGGAGGAATGGAAGGCTGGGTTTGCCTAGGCCGGTATCTATACGGGATCCAAACCCGTTACCGTGTGTGTGAAATAGTGCGCCATTTGCCACAACACCACCTCCGCCCTGCCCTAAGGTCAATAATACAAATTCACGGAACCCGTGTGCATCTTAAATGAGTGGCCTTCAATGGGTATTAAGGGTTTCTAAACGATGTAGTTAAACGATTCGTTGGTAGTTGTGTTGATTTCATTAGCACTTAACGCATTGCGGGAACCATTGTAGCGACAGGCGTTTGTTGATTGGTTGGTTGGTGGGCGACATATAACCAATTCCCCTCTTACGACTAGTAGTTGCCCTCTATTTTAAAAGCTTCTGGTGTTTCAGGCTGCTAGAGACTATGGATTGGGCAGAGCTAAACATTCATGAATCCAATCCCTTGAAAAAATCGTAGTTGTGGATACAAGCCGTATAGAGTTGCTTCAGCGAACTTCCATTCATCGAGAGCATTATTGCTGTTCTGAGGTGGAATTGGCTGTTACACTACTCATATAGTATCCAATAGCTGAGCTTAGACGATGAACCGTAGGTGGTGTACGCAAAAAGGTGTCCTTTTCAAAAGCTGCACTGTCTCATTTCTTGAACCAAGTCATTTTGATTGCTGTAATGGTCTTCAAGCTCGCTTTGAACAGGCAAGGTAGTTTCTGAGAAATCGTAAAGCCTCCAATGCCACGGAAGCTGTCTCTTTCGCTGAGCTCCGCCATAACTCTGCTGGAATGCGAAAAGGAAGTCATGACAACGGTGCAACGACTACAGCTGAGTATAGAACTGACTTCGTTCACACCAGCATAATAATCTCCCGGAGGAGGATAATAGGCTAGATTTGTACGCAGCATATGATATTGGATGAAAAATTACAACTTAATTTCATAGGTTGGAAGAAGAAGAGGATCGGATGAGATTAGAAAATCGAGGCAAACGGTTGATACCTCAGTCTTTTTCTACTTGTCTCCACTAGTGGTTGCGAACACTCATGGCCTGGCGAGTTCTGAAAGGCGGTCTGTTTCGAACTAGAGTGGACGTATCGCTGCCCCAACCAGAGGAGAGGTCTGAACTTAGCCGAGCCTACAACTTTGACTTCTCTCACAGTTGAACCTTCCAATTTGCATTGCATGAATATCATTACCGGTACTCAGAGTAACTGGCCGAAGGTGTCCATTGCGCGATTTCGATGGACAGACCAATGAAAGCTTTTACCTCTTGAAGAAGGTCTAAGTTAACGGAGTTGCTTGAAAAGTTGAAGGTGCCTATATAAGAATGGTCTAAACATCTCTAACTCCCTTTCAGTAGTTCCTTCATTAATCATATACTATTCAGTTTGACAATCCTACCCCTGTGTAAAAGTAACGCGCGTTATGTATTCTCTGACCAAATCCAAGTCGTTTTTCGCCTCATATGGGAAGGTTA